TCTCACGTGATCGTCGAAGGTGTCAAGCGGGCCGCGCGCTCGAACCCAACGCCGTTGTCCTGAATGCCAGGACGTCGATCCAGACGTTCAAGGTTCGCAGCAAAGCCCAGGCAAAAGCGGGCGTCATTTACATTCACGTTTCTCGACGTGCTCGCCGTGCTGCATCGTCAATCTCTCGAGTCAAGCGACTCAGCAGAGTAATCAACAACGCCACCCCTTCAGGCGTATCGGTATCCCACGCCTGCTGTTGAAAGCGGTGCTCATGGGAAACAACAATGTCCGACACGCAAGCGAGAGAACCATCTCGCAGCGCGTCCAGAAACGACCGGATGAGCGACGAGGAGGGACGATCAGACGGCTCATCGCTCTCTATGCCACCCGAGGATGAGGAGAGCATGGACGAAGAAGGAGATGAGGACGACGAGGACGAGGTGGATGAGGCCATGGAAGTGGAGGACGGCGAACCGGATGAGGAGGACGATGCAACAGAAAACGTCAGGGCGGCGGTGATTTCGGATGATGACGAAGAATCCGCGGGTCCCGCTCCGCAGCGCCCTCGCACAACTCGACGAGAGAAGAGAGTGGTGAGCACTCCGACGGATACGCCTACTCCTCGCACGCAGAGCGGCAGACCTGCTCGAGCGGCTGTTCGGAAGCCTGTCATCGACTCTGGTGAATATGGTGAAGATGATGACGAGGAAGAAGAGGAGCAGGAGGAGGAGGAAGAGGAAGAGGAAGAGGAGGTTGTGCTGGAAGAGGAAGATGAAGACGATCAAGACGGCGAGGAAGACGAGTTGGAGGATGACATGCCGGCGGCCAGCCCTGTCCCTTCGCGCCAATCCAAGTCCAAAGCGGATGCTTCCAAGCTGGATGTGCAGCAAAGCAGTGCAAGCAAGGCGCTCCGCATCAGACTCAAGATGAGCGACTCCAGACCCGCAAGCACGGCCTCAAGCGGTGGCAAGCCCAAGACGAAATCGTCGAGCAGCAGCAGTGGAGGTTCCAAGCTGCGTTTCAAAGCTGGCAAAGAAGCGGATCCCAAGAAGCGCAAGCGTGGTAAGTACACGTTTGAACGACCTGGCCAAAGCTCTACCAGCGTCAATCTTCAGCCTGCTTACACCTCCACTCATGCGCTTCCACAGACGCCGAGTCAGGATCGGAGTCCGACTTTGATACCTCCATCGCAGGCTTGGGCGACGGACTCCCAAAGACCGCCCGCCAGCTGGCCAGAGCGAATGCCCAGAAAGCAGCACAAGCGGAGGCCGGGGCAGAAGGCCGAGAAGGAAGCTGGACTCCTCCTCCTGAACTCGGTGGGGAGCCTGCAGAAGAATTGATGAGCTTGCCGATGGGTAAGTAGTCTGAGGGCAACATGGTTTGCTGTTTTGAGAGAGCGCTCACAAACGTCTTCGCCTGATTCGATGCCACATTGACAGAGGATGAGAATCACCCTTTGAGAAAAAGAAGAACTGAAGCAGAGGAAGCGCTCCGAAAGAGCGAGATCAATCGAAGAAGGAAGAATCAGAGCGAGCGGAAGCTCGAGGATGAAAAGGTTGAGGTCAGTGACGGCCCACTCACGAACTTGTGTGATGTAGCGCTGTAGAAGCTGAACCACTTGTTTTTGCACCATACGTTCCCAGACCATCAATCGCCTTTTGAAGCGTCAAGTAGCTCGCGATGCTAGCTCGAAAGACGAAGAAGACCCTGATGATACAGGCGCAAATGCAGGTTCAAGATCCGGTCTGCGAACGCCCGCGGAACGCAAGGATGAGCCTGCACAGATGTTTAGGACAGTCATTGGCTATACTCGCACGCTTGTGGGCGTGCCGCTGCCTGCTCAATCCCAGCAAGAGAGCCCTTATCAGAAGCGATTCAACGAAGTCTTCCCCGACTTAGGCGTCAAGAGGGACAATGCTCAAATCCAACAAGCGACGGAGACGAACACTTTGTCAACAGCTGCATGAATTGCATGCTGCGCTGCTTCTTGGCACAAATGCCCTCAGGCAATATCAGATGGAGGCAGACGAGACTCGCTCCTCGCTTAGTGGTGGTATGGAGGAGTAACTTCAGACACGAGCTGGTTTGCCTTTTCTACGGCGTCCAGCACATCTTGAGGAAGAGGACCCTTCTCAAAGTCGAGCAGATTCTGCTCGATGTGCTTCAAGCTGGACGCGCCGATGATGCTGGAGGTGCATGTCGAGCGAGCGACAAGCCAGGTCAGCACGGGTCCCTGCGTCTGAAGGACGAACATCAGCATCGATCTGGACTCACATTGCGTCTCCATGGTCGGGCGTCAGCTTGGAGTGATGCTGCATCCAGCGCAGGGCCACCTCGGCCAAGGAAAAGTTGTGCTTGTCCGCGGCGGGTCGCAGAACTTCCAACGCATCAAAGAAGGGCTTCTTGAAGTATCGCTTCCGGTACATCTCTCCCTGCTTGGTGTTGGCATCGAAGCGAGACCCCTTTTCGATCTTGTGCTCCTGACTCTCTTTGTCATCGCTGTCCTCCCACTTCAGGTTTCCAGTGTAGAGGCCACCGCCCAGTGGATTGAAAGCGTAGACTGTACAACATCAAAGCGATGGGCGCTCATGCTTGTCACAATCAAATTGTGCGTTGGTAGCTGCCACGATCTACTCACAGGCAATACCATGCTTTCGCAAAACAGGGAATAGCGGCTGCTCTGGCGAACGAACAACAGAGTTGTAAATGCCCTACGAATACAAATAGAGAGTCAGTTTGAAGCGTTCTTCACACGTCAGCAAGGGTACACATGCGAGGCCCATCACTCACCTGGTACACGCTGGGCTTGACGAACCCATTCTTTTCGCAAATGGCAATGATCTCCTCGACCTCTTGCGCAGTGTAGTTGGAGATGCCGAGCCTTTTGAATTTGCCCGCTTTGTACTCTTCGTTCAACGCACCTAGCGTCTCGGCAAAGGGTACATCGCGGTCTGGACTGTGCAGGTAGTATAGGTCGACACTATCTGTTTGAAGAGCTTTGAGCGAGTCTGCCAGGCAACGATGGCTGAATCAAATGGGTGGGGTGTCAGAGGAGAGGTATGGCCTGTCAGCATTCACGTGACTGCCCCGCTGGCACAACTTTGACTTGCTGCTCCGCGACTGCTGCGCTCACACCTCTGGCGCCGTGTGGTCATAAGCTGCGCCATCCTTGTGCAAGGGTCGACGTCTGGAAGGAAAGTTTTTTGTAGCGATTTGAAAATGGGAAGAAGCCTTCAATCGACCCAGGTTCTCCTCGCTGGTGCCGTTGCCATACACGCGCGCAGTGTCCACCTCCTTGTGTCCGTGCTTTGCGAAGACGTCGAGAATGGCTTGCTGGTCCTGCAGATCGTGCACTCGCGCTTGTTCTTGACCCGCCGCGCCGAATGTCATGGCGCCGAAAACGACATTGACTCGGGTTTGAGATGACATTGTGAGATGAGCTTGGTTGGTCGAGGGGGAGGTGATCGCTTCGAATGATTTGCGATGAGGAATGGCCGAGTTCAGCCAACGAGGATGAGGTTCGGAAAGATTGGAATTGGAAAGGGATGGGGCTGCGATGGTTGAGAACATGTCAAATGGGTTTGATGTATTCATTCACCTTGTGGCCGCAAGGTACCACTGTATGCGTTGCAAGAGCGATGAGGATTCACGATTGAACGTCAGCTGACCGAAGCCCCTCCCCTCGACCCGCTGTCGAACGCGACACGACCTCACAAGAGACGTTTGAGCTCACACTCATTCAAGATTGACTGTCGACTTCCTGGCGCCGCTCGCTCTCTCTGTGGCACACGCCTCCACTCACACTACAAAGCGGGGAACTGAGGACTCTTTGCCCATCTCGAAATCACGAATAATTTACTATTAATTGTGAATGTGGATGCGTGGATGCGTGGATGCAAGAAGCCGTGGATGCCGGCCGCGATCGTTGTGGAGGGCGATGATTGCGTGGCGAATCCGGCCCCGAAGTCCGATAAAAGTCGAGAATAATAGTCAAGAGTCGTCGTGAGTCACCGCGCTGCTGCTGCAGTGGTGGGTGTTGTTCTCGCGGGCGCGCCGCGCCAGCCACTCGTGACTGTTGTTGTACCGGTACTGTATGTTTGCAGCGCGCCTCAAGCAAGGGGGCGAGGCTGGAGACGCATCACGCGTCCAACGGTCCGCTGCTTCACCTGAGCCTCGACGATCATCACCCACCGACGTGCATGCCAATCATTCGCTTGACGCTTACGGCCTGCTGATCTGATTGGCAACAACGCACGCTCCATCGTTGATCAGGCACCGCTTTCCCTCGTGGGCGTAGGAGCAAGATGTGGGAGCCAAGCAGACCCAGATGCTGTACGCAGACCCAGCCCGCAAGCGATTTTGAACTCATCATGGCCTTTGCACGACAGGCAGACCCGTTCGGAACGCCACTCGAAACGACCAGTACAGTCACGAGCATCACAGCTTCTTCGCTCGCACTCATTGACTGCGACCGTGCCCAAGTGTCGGTTTACCGTTAGCCAGCGCCGAGAGACCACCTCCCTGCAGTTGACCGCGTACCGCCAAGCGCGAGCTGCCGCGTGGTGGTGACCCAAAAGCTGTCTGTCGATCGCGTAGTCACCGAAGCATGACGAGCTCCACTGCTTTCTCGAGACAAGATGCGAAGTAGGTGCGCCGCTCCCCGCTTCCGGCTGTCCGAAAGCAAATCTTGGACTCGGGATGGCGTTGGTATGCAGACTGCACGAGGACAAACAAGATTTTATTCAGGTGCCGTCGCCCGTCGAGGCAAGCAGCGGTAGTGAGAAAGCCTCTTCATCTGTGACGCCTTGACCGCTGACCCTACCGGTCTGCCTTCAGCAGGCATGTTGATGATTTTGCTCGACTCCAACAACATGCGAACAATGCTTGAATGCGCTACAATGCAGTAGTAGCATGCACACTAGACACTCGGCATCGGCAATCGTGAATGCTCTTGCCATTTCGCACCCTTCAGCAAGCGCCGAGAGTCTGATATTTGTGCGCATACACGAGATCGAGCGTCATCATCGCCTTTATCCATGCCCACACCATTCCTTGACCTACTCTCTCACCACCCTCTCCGCCCTCTCGATCGCATTCGGTCTTCTTGGTTGTCCCTTGGTGCTCACTGCTCTTGCCCAACTCATCCTGTCTCTTCTCATCCATATCCTCTTAGCCACAGATCGGAGCCATTCCATTTACCTCGACCGTCGTCGCCGCTCGCTCAAATCCATATTGGACCAAGTCGCGACACTTTTTCAACTCTTCACAAGCGCAGTATCCCCGAGACGACTTATATGCATTGTAAGTCCGCAATATCCACACAAGTTCGGATCTTCCACTCCCGGACTGGCTCAACAGTCAGACAACCCAATTGCGCTCCCAGTGAACTTCCGATGGTCCAATCAAACGGGTCGTTATGGCTCCTCGACGCCAAGCACTTCTTCGACAATGTTTACTCCATTCATCCCCTCTCTCGTCGGTCAGCCACGGCAGGCACCGCGGCCGGTGCCTCGTCAAACACCACCCTTAGCGGTGCGTCTACATCCAGCTTGGCCATTCTCGCCGTTGGCCTGGGAGCCTTGATAGTTGCGCTTGGCCTGGGAGGCTACGTTCTCATCCAGTACCGCAAGCGAAGATTAGCACGTGGCACTACCAAGAGCAAGCTGAATGTTAGCGCGCCCACACTGAAATTTGCGCCTCGTCATGCCGTAGCCAACGGCGTGGATCTCAAGGACATCTCAGAGAACCAGCGAAGGGTGATTGGAACGCGTGGAGTCAGACCGATGGCTGTTGTAGAG